TACATGAGTTCTTTTCTTGGTAATAAATACTAAACTCGCATTGAAGGATTATAATTTGAAATATAAAACGAAAAAAAAGAAAGAATAAATATTAATTGATAGTATGAAGTTTTATTCTATTTCTTACATACAGAAGAACTATATAGTTTGATACATATACCCATATTTCCTAGCTTATTTATGAAATATTGTTTCTTTCCGCGGAATACTATTGAAAAGAGAAGAACATAAGTAAAGATATAGATCAACTCTTGAACACTATCTCACAAGAAAGCTACTGCCTGCTATCTCTAGAGGATTAGAGCCATTCCCTGATATTCTTACTCGCCTGATGGTTGGTTCTCCTCATCTTCATGTTCCCTACTACCACTTGCCTCGCCCAAACTCAGCTGTGATGTTGTTTCATTCTATAAGAGAAAAGGATCTTGTAGAAACAGAGGAATAAGCACACAATAAATACTGCTAAGGAATTACCTGCAATGGAGGAGGAGGTTGTTGCATCTGCTGCTGCTGGAGACCAGCAAACTGGCTGTAAGGATTCATGTAACCACCCGGAAGCTGAGGGTGGTGGTTCCACACCGGGTTAGGTCTGGATGGGTCATAGGCTGGAAAAGGGTAGTGTGGCGGTGGATATGATGGACCTAGACCAGCCATATGACCCTGACTAGGAAAAGGCGGTAGTGTGCCAGGGAAAGGTATGAATGGGGGGCGGTTCATCCCCATCGCCATGTGAGGTTGCATATTTGGCGGCCGCATCATTCTGCTTCCCGTTGATATCATCTGCATAGCAACATCGATTGAGATATTAAAATGTCAGTCATGATGTGAAGAAGATTCTTCTACATAATATTGTAAACTTGCAATAGACAGGGCATAGTAAGAGCGATCAGCTATTAATCTCATCCATCTAAACCAAGTAGAGATTTGCATACTTGTTTTCATGATGTTAGAAAATGATAATCTTTCCAAGAAGAAGAATCTGCACAACTCAATTCTACTAAAGGGCTGCTAAGGAATCAAAAATAATGTGGTTGCGGCTGGTTCTGCAGGAGATCTATGACCAATGTTTTATGAGGACATACTTGTACTTGCATCTGCAGTGATTTCATGAGCTCGATAGCATCATCCAGCATTGAAGCTTTATCACACTGAGATCAGATTAAAAGCAGAACAAGAAATATGAATCAGGACTAACCTTACCTTTGAATAACAAAAAGAAAGTGAGAAACCTTTTTGCTGCGAGGAATGAGTTCTTGAAGAGCCTTCATCCTCTGGTTGATCTTTTCTCTCCGTCTCTTTATCGAAGGAAAAAGAAGTAGACTTTAACAGAAATGAAGCAGAGAGTCCATTGTTGAAAATAAACCAAGAATCTTGAAATTCCATTAGGGAAATAAAAATGAACCCTTTCACAGAGATTATGCATTTCTGCAGTTCGTGACCTCTTCCTAGATGTTGTTGTTGAAGAAGGAGCTTCTTCAGTTTTCTGTGCACCAAGAAGAAGAAAAAAAAATTATAAGCCTCGACTGCTAAATTGCACGGGTCAAGTGACTAACATGCACCGCGCGAGATGGGTGCGCAGGTTTACCTCGGTTTCTTCTCTCTCTTTTCGCTTCCTGTCATCGGCTGTTTCCATCTCCGTCTCTGCCGCTTGTTGTATCTGAATCGGCTCTGTTTCGGCCTTGGTCTTAGTCACCACCGTCTTTTCCTTCCAACCAAGACTAGGAACTACAAAAGTGTGCGAGACTCTGCAAGTCGGTCGAGTCTCGGTGACTACGTCAACCGGTCGAGTCTCGGTGCTTTTCGTCACTGGTATTAGAGAGTATCCATTCGACGAGCTCGAGCACACCTGCGTCGATTCTCTCGCCACCGGAATCCTCGGTTCAGCTCCGGTGACTATGTTCCCTCCTAGGTTCAACATGTTCATAAACTGATTGGTCAGTCTCTCCTCCGGGGGATCGTAGGGAGCACTAGGTGGTGGTGGTGGTGCCATAGAGACATAACTCCGTGGTTGAGTGTACAAACTCAGATGCTGAAGGTAAGAAGGCATTTCGTGATCGTAGAACAAGAAATTCTGATGAGACGGTTGATGCTGGTGATGGGGAGGAATCGGAATCGGAAAATCCTGAGCATTTTCTCCTTCTCTGTGGCCGCGGCTTCCACTGCCGCGGAGAATGGGAGAATCGGAGGTGGGATTCTGAGCCTGACCGCTCTTCCATAAGGGCTCATCTTCAGCCCTAAGTTT